AAAGCATGTACAAGATGACATGATATAATCCTAAATTTGGGTAAAGAGATAAAATCCTTCTATTTTTTTATTATATTTTTCCAATCCCCATTATAGATCAGGCACTAAACTGTACACTTAAACTTGTGAGAAAAAAATTGTAATGAAAAAAAATCATCCCATGATATAACTCAACAAATGAATCAATATATGGCTTGCGTGCACTTCTATGTTTTGCTTAATGCAAAATAATTACTTGGCAATTCATGAAACACAAACACATCCACATCCACAGTTTTCCTCGGAAACATCTGACAACAATACATGTATATCGCAATATATGCGTGTGAAACGGCACGTACATTTATGTTATGTCGATATTGTATACGTGACATGCTAGGGCGAATACAATACTCTATACCACAGAATATTAAAAGAAGTTAGTATGAAGATTTATGGAGCGAACAAGTTAGAATTGAACTGCCATGAGTCAGATCAGGGTCAGTGGATGCTGCTATCATTTATGTCAGTCGCTCGTGTGGCGATATGTTCAAGAGCTCGGACTGTTGACACCATATCGAGAGAACATGCGCGTTCAGATGATGTATGTCACTTTAGTATCTTCCCCTTGCCATTGTTCGCTAGAATCTTCAAAGATTCATTGCATTCATATCAAGGCAGAATACCAATAGATATTTATATCCATACATGTTTTTCACAACAGGCTTCCATAATAGATCGAATGGAGCAGTTGGTGTACGGCATCCAAATTTCTTTATTCGGACTTATATTTTAAAGCGCGGTGGTCGTCGCGCAGCACGTGTTCGAATTTCATGTAAATAAACAATGTATTTTACACGCGTTGTATACGTCGCTATGAGTCCCATATCGAACAGGACGCGACACGACGACTGCCGCCCTTTAAAGGACTCACAGTTCACAATAGAAATCTGGTGATCCATGCAGCTAACCGAGGAAAGACGGAATGTTATTTATGAAAATCGACGCAAACTACGACACAAAAGATATCGGATACCGGCGCTTTATTTATTACCAGTTCTTTCTCAAGCTGTAAATTTCCATGATAATGGATTCAAATGGTGAGGAATTTGACGCATATTTTGGCACCTGCAACACTTATTCCTACAGTACGTTTTTTTTCAACTCGCTGAATACATTTGCATAAATTACCATAAATTATTTTTGTTAATTGGACAAGCATAGGAGTCACGAACAAATTTTCTGAATGTATCGTAGAGGGCGCTCACACACGTCATTTTGAAAACTAACGGAGTTTATCACACGAAAGAAGGTTAAAACTAGATCAGTTACATGGACTACATGGACCCACAGCGCGCGCTACTGCTAGTTGACAACGCCGGTTCACACAGTTTGAAGAGCAGCCAATTAGAATCACCGGATGGTAACATCAAGTGTTCTTTTTTACCGCCAAATACAACTTCAAAGCTACAACCGCTTGATCAAGAAATCATCGCAATTATGAAAAAATATTATCGCCGAAACATGCTACGTGCCGTCGTCGATGAAGATAATGAAGACAAGAATTTGAAAGAAATCGTTAAAACATTTACGGTTAAGGACGCGTATCAAACCATCAACTGTGGCGGGGTGTTGGTACAATGGACTTCATGTCGGCGACCATGCCAATGAGCAAGGCGTGAGTACCAACGAAAGTGAGGTGATAACCGCTGAAATCAACGAGGCCTGTGTTGATCTAGGATTAGGAGTCATTGCCGAGAACGAACTTGATGCATGGATCAACTGTGACAACGACATTGGGTCAGAGACTTTCACTGAGGACGAGATTGTAAAGATTGTAGCCGAAAATAAAAAAGACGACATTGAAAGTGACAACAACGAAAAAGAAAACATGCCGCCCAACGCACCAACACCAGCAGTTCCAGTGACCGACGCAATCGACGGAATGCAACTTTTTTATTGACTGGTATGAAGGTCAAGAGGACATCGATGCAGTGAAACTGATGCAGTTACGACAAATGCTTTCATTCGCAAAATCAAAAAAACAACAGAAAGTGAAACAACAGCGCCTGGATAATTTCTTTGGGTAACATTTACGAACATTTTGCACAGACTGAAACTGACACAATATTGACAAAAGTCGACTCTCACATTTTCTTCGTGGACACGTATTATTTATTTATTTATTTATTTATTTATTTTACTAACGTAATAATTAACAAAAATGTTCGTTAACAACGATTTTTTATTAATATTTACAATGTAGAATTGTAATACACATTAATTAAATGTAATGTACATGTATCAATAAAACATGAAATCAACGTACACTCTATTGTCCTTCATTTTATGTTAATTTTATTAGGAGTAATATTAATAATGAGAATAAAAAATAAAATGTTAAAATGGTTGAAATACTTAGAGTATACATTTTGTAACGCGATTAAATATTCGCTTAAGAAACTGACAAAAGAAGGTAAAACTACTAAGATTAGTTACATGGAATATATATTTTTTATTTTTGTTTGAGTAAATAATCAATAATAAAATAATAAAATAACAATAATACATAGAATATACATATATAACGCAACGGTTAAGTATTCTCCAAGGAAAAACCAGCAAACTAGATTGAAATAAATGGAATAGGGTTAGGGGTCAGCAGAAAACTCACCAAGTGTCCTACATTTCACTGTACTATAGAGAATGACTGCTAAAGTATGATTGACATGCTTATTCTATATATGTTGTTGAATGATGTCATATTGTTGGGAATTCATTTCGCGTGTTGATAACGTGATTTCACAGGAGACTAAACACATTTTGGGCTTTGATTTAAATCGTCGAAAGAGTATACATGTATGCCGCTTGGAATAGTTACCATCCAAATCTGGGAAAATGCATTGAAATGCCCATAACACATAGCAATTTACAACTATCAATTTTGCACAAAGCTTGGTCAATGTAGAGACGGATTTTATTTGTCTGAGTATCTTCATCGCAAATCCATAAGATAAACACAAATGCTGTTTTTGCGAGCACATCAAAAATAATTGACTTGAATGATACGATGAATCTGTGTACAGATGAATTCAGCGACGATTTTAATTCAGCGACAATTTTCTTCATAGTCAGCTTATCTAATGGTTTCCTGTTGCCTACAAAATACAAAGAAAATATCTACATAAAATTTCACGCATAATAATGTTAACCACTGGTAAACGTTTAGCTGTATTTACAGCATTCTCAAAAGTATCAGTTTGTAAACTGCTTTGATTTTGATAGTTGCCCCACTCTGGACGAATCTATATAACAGCCGGGGTAGTCTCGTCCACTCTGGACGAATTTATACCTCCATCTTGTAGTCTCGTCCACTCTGGACGAATCTATATAACAGCAGTGGAAGAGGTGTCAGGAAAATAAGCAACGGATATTTGGATTTTTAAATACAATGAACATTTTTGACAAGCGGTTGATTTGTGGTAAAATTTCATTGAAATCTTTGAACTGTTTCATCGTTAAGGATACACTGCGATTGGTGAGGTAGCCGTTATAGTACTCATGAATATGTACATAAGTACGCTGGCGAAACAAATTCATGGTTATGTACAAATTGTTGACGCGGCACAGCAGATACGTGAAAATGTTCTCACCTCTCGGATCGATTGTAGGATTTTCAATAGCTGATGGCCCGTTGTACCACTGTCACATGATTTAGGTGTAACCAGCGAATTCGCGACTTTGCGTCGTTTAATACGACGAGTTGAATTTTATGAAACATCAGGCTCGACTTGTGGTGTAGCAGTAGTAGACATTCCTTGTTCATACGATGGATCCATCTTGTTCTGTACAAGACTGCCGGAGAAATCATTTAGGTATGAGTGCAGCTGGTTTGAAGTCATGTTGCTAGAACACTCGTCAGTGATAAAATGATTCGCAATATGCCTCGTGTTAAAAAAATCCCCTCTCTGCTGCCCCGGATGTTTACATCATGTTAACAATTTTCCCTGCCAAGTCAAATATATTTATAGAATCATTACACACATATATATACACACACACAGGTTTCTCCTGTTCAAAAACACTTCATGAATCCAGGGGGAAAATCAATGTCGAGTTTGCTAAGGTGATGAGCGATGGGTGTCAGGCCTGTGTTGTCATGATCCACAACTCAAACACCCAGTCGGACACATGTGATCTTAACAGTTAGTATAAGACTTGTCACACTTAGTGCAATAGTACGCCTTTCCCAGAAAACCGGTCATTTTTGTGATGACATTGTAGTGTTCGTCCTTCAGAAACAGATATATGTCTTTAGAACCTTCTGTGGCATCGCCTACAAAGATGATGGAGTCAAAATGATCTTGCGACAATATGTGTATTTTGAAATCGAGTAACACGATCTGAAATTTGTTAATCTCTTCGATGCCACATGGACCCTGTTAACTCTGGCCTTCCCTAAAAGTTCTCTAGCTCGGACGGTTTGCATAGAGTAGTTCGCCGTTTTTTACTCTTCATAGAATTCCACAACGATGGTGGATTCTCGTCTTTTGTGGTGTGTGCCATGGCAAGCACGATTGCTCTAGCGCAATACGTCTGGTCATCGGAATGATTTCAGTGACAAATTTGGAATTTCTCAACTTGTCTGCGATCTTCGTATGAATCTGTTGCTTCCTCTCATGTGTTTTGCCGGCACCAAGGGGCATTTCAACAGATACCATCCTGATGGTGATGTTTTCCTCAAGGGATATATATTGGTAAGATTGTAGAATCCTCTCCACTGGACATCACCTTGTCAACATTCATTGAAGTTAATCTTGTCGGTAATATTTACTCAAACAAACAAAAAAATTATATTCCATGGAACTGATCGTTTTACCCTTCTTTTGTCAGTTTCATAATCGAATACTTAATCGCATTACAAACTGTATACTCTATGTATTTCAACCATTTTAAAATTTCATTTTTATTCTTATTATTACCATTTTAAAATTTTATTTTTATTCTTATTATTAATATTACTCCTAATAATATCATTCTTATATTACTCAGTTTTTTAATCCATTCTTTTTTGATTATTTACTCAAACAAAAAGAACAAAAAATGTATATTCCATGTAACTGATCTAGATTTACCCTTTTTGTGTGATAAACTCCGTTAGTTTTCAAAATGACGTGTATTTATTAGCGTATGTGTGTGTATGTGCGCGTGTGTCAGCGCCCTCTACGATACATACAGACAAAGCTTTCGTAACGTCCTTGCTCGTCCATTTAAAAACAAATAATTAAAAAAAAATGATGGTAATTTATGCAAATGTATTCACGGTGATCTCGTTACGACCTCGTATTCAAATATATTTTATGAATGTAAATGTATTCACAGTATCCCATTGTAACGTCACCCTCATCCAAATGACCCACTTCACGGCCTTGTACGATCATTTATGCTAATTTATGCACGGATCATCATTGTGACGTCATCATTTATGCACTCCCTATTGTGACGTCATCCCACCCCCGTATGACGTATTCCATCCGAATTTGAGCAGCGCCCTCATGGTCGTACCTATATTGTAACTTAAACTACTTGCGCTTGTCATGTTATATTACAATTCAGCTATAAATGGGATACATTCGGTTGGAAGAAACAGATCCTTTGTATAAATACAACTGATGAACAAAGAACATATATTATTCAATGCAGAATAGTGAAACCGTTCGTATTTCTTATTTTATACATGCTAAAAACAATCAATTTGATCGAAACAGATGCTGTTTACGAGTTGTAAACGCTTTGTTCAGTTGAAACTGTGTGACCTCGCCTTGGGAGTTATTACCGAATGGCATATTTAAAATCAAACCAATCTTTTAAAAAAATTTAGCAAATTCGGTACCACATCCAAAGTAAATATTGAAGTAACTTCTACCGTTCACAGTGCCGTTGTCCGAGCGAATCAATACATTTCACCATGAGGACATTTTCTTTATGTTTAGAAGCTTGGCACTAAAAACAAATTAATGTTAAGTGTTTGAAGTATGATTCAGATCGTATTATGATGTAAATCCTTCTTGGAAGAGTTGTCAGCAGAAATGTTCATCAGCCAATAATCGCTATTTTTATATCACGACAGAGCGGGATGGCCTCGCCGAGACGTTTTTGGAGTATACAGTGTATACAGAGACCGTATTTTCAAGGGCGAGACATGGTCATTACAAGACTCATAATATTCTTGCCTGTGCTTAAATGTAACTTTGGCCGTCGTATTATACAACCATTAGCTTCAGCATGAGCGAGTTGGCTTACAATATAGGGGCTCGTGCTAAATGTTCATATGTGCTTGTAATTTCGATCAAACAATAATTAGGGGGTGCTAAAATATTTGCAGTTCACC